TAAGGTTGGAAGTGTGGGATTCTGGAGACATATATACAGGGATAGGCAAAAGTAGGTTTACAGTTGCAATACAAATAATATGGAACTCCTTGTTCCAAATTCTTCAGACTTTCAAGACTGTGGTGACAGGGCATTAAACAAAGTGGGGGCCCTTCTAAGTGTGGGGCTTGCCCATGAAGCTGTCACTGCCCTAATATGAGGCCCGCCCTATTATGAGGCCATCATCCCAAATATTTATTGAACACCCACTGTGAGTCAGGCACTACTACTTCAGGCACTTAGGTTTCACAGCAGTGAGCAAGTCAGAAAGAGGGGGGGGGGGGGAAACTGTTCTTGTGAGGCTGACATCCTAGTGGAGGAGACAGCACATAAAACAAAGACCATCACCATGGTCTTTTAGATAAGTATGAGAGTAAATTAAGGCAGAAAAAGCATGGAAAGGAGCAGGGTTTGAATTTTTAAATAGGATCCAAAAGAGCCCCAGTGAGAAAATAGCATACCTGTACTAGGTACGTGAAGAATGAATAGATCTCAGTGGGAGAGACCTTCCAGGTCCCCAGAGAAGAGGGGGCTTTTGGGAAGAGGAGGAGAATGGAGGCCCAGGCAGGGCAATGGCTGTAGGTAGGAGGATGGAGACAGAGGGTCTATAATCCCTGCCCACCCCCAGCTTTCCCTGGATCTTTTCTACACGGAGGACGAGATCTATGAGCTTTCTTACACCCGGGAGCCTCGCTGTCCTAAGAGTCTGGTGAGACCCAAACCCTGATCTCTGACCTCTAGCCCAAGCCTATCCACTGACTAACTATGCCCCTCTGTCCCTGCCCCAGCCACCCTCCCCCTTCAAAGCACCCCTGGTGGTGGAGTGGGCCCCTGGTGTGATGCCCAAGCCCGACAGGGCCACCCTGGGTCTACATGTGGAGCAGCTGGTAGAGGTAAGGAGGGACTACGGCCTGGCTACTGGGGGCCAAGAAGGAAGCTACCTGTATAGCCCTGACCTAAGACCGAAGGGATCATGACAAGGCCTTACTCTCCCCTTCCCATGTTCCTCTGAAGTCCGTGTTCAAGAATTATGACCCTGAAGGCCGAGGAACCATCTCTCTTGAGGACTTTGAGCGACTCTCAGGCAACTTCCCCTTTGCCTGCCATGGGCTTCACCCGTCCCCCTGCCAAGAGTAAGTGCTCTAATTTCTAAGGCCTCCACAGATGAGGATACGGGGGGTTTCCAGGATCCTGAGGTCTGGGAGAAACGGGCCAGTCATACTGAAGTGAGGTCTCTGCCCCCAGGAGTGGCTCCTTCAGCCGAGAGGAGCTGACAGAATACCTTCTCCGGGCCAGCGCCATCTGCTCCAAGCTAGGCCTGGCCTTCTTGCACACCTTCCATGAAGTCACCTTCCGCAAGCCCACCTTCTGTGACAGCTGCAGTGGTTTCGTGAGCATTCGGCCTACTATCATCCTTGGGGCCCATCTTCTGAGTGTCCTAGCTCCTCACAGTCTGGGCTCAGAAGTACACCTTCTTTTGAGTACTCAGTCCCCAAGCCCTGAACAATCTGCAAATTCCAGAAAATTGTTCAACCTCAAATAATCCCCACATTTCATAGACACCCTAAACATTGGATCTTCTCTATATCCCAATGTTTCCAAAGTCTAGCTAACGCCCAAATCCCAGCTGACCTCTATCCTGGATAACTGCCAACGCATGGATAACACCTAAAATCCTATTTAACTTACATGCCTGGAGAGATTATTCCTAAACATTCAATCTCCAAGTTTCTAGACTCTAAACCCTGGGTAATTTTCAAAATTACACTCAAGTTCTGGATAATGGACAAATCTCTCAATCTCCCAAGCTAATTTACAACCCTTGGCCTTCCAAAATTTGTTTTTCATTCACTAAATATTTATTAAGTACCTCCTGTGTGCCAGTACAGTTCTAGGCTCAGGGTATGTATGTGGAGGGAGAAGAGAGGGCAAGCAGAAAACACAATAGACACAATCCCTGCCCACAGAATTCCAAATTTGACCCAGTTCTAATAGCCTAGATCAGTGGTTCTCAACCTTTTTTAATGCCGAGACCCTTTAATACAGTTCCTCATGTGGTGACCCCCAACCATAAAGTTATTTTCATTGCTATTTCATAACTGTAATTTTGCTACTGTTATGAATCATAAAGATCTGTGTTTTCCGATGGTCTTAGGTGACCCTGCTAGCGACCCAAAGGTTGAGAACCGCTGCTGTAGAGCCATCGGAAAACATAGATCTTTACATTATGATTCATAACAGTAGCAAAATTACAGTTATGAAGTAGCAATGAAAATAACTTTATGGTTGGGGGTCACCACAACATGAGGAGCTGTATTAAAGGGTCTTGGCAATAAAAAGGTTGAGAACCACTGGCCTAGATGATTCCTCAAACTTAAATAAACCTCCAAATTCCTTTAATCCTCATCCCACATAAACCTCTATCTAGCCTTGAGAATTTCCAAAACCTAGATGGTTTCCACACTTCCAAAGAGCCCTGCCCATCCACAGCCCTACCTCTCCTAGCCTTGGCAACCTGTTTGCTTTCTCTTCCCAGCTCTGGGGTGTCACCAAGCAAGGCTACCGTTGTCGGGGTAAGTGGGACGGACATCAGTGAGGGGGAGGGAGTTCAGATCTTGCAGCCCAGAAGAATGGAGGCATGGGCTGGGTCTTTGGCCACTAACTGCTGCCTTCCCCCAGACTGTGGGCTGTGCTGCCACAAACACTGCAGAGACCGAGTAAAGGAGGAGTGCAGGAGGCCAGGGGCCAAGAGCGAGACGAGCCCCTCAGGAGCCCCTGTCCCACCCACACCAACGCCCCGTGCCAGCTGTGGTAAGACCCAGGGTGTACAGCTCTGGAAAGGGGGCTTGGTACATAGGGATTAATCCCAAGGTCATGAAGCTCTTCCCAACAAACTCTCATTCCTCCCACCCATACCCCCGAAACAGGCTCTGAGGACAGTCTTTCCTACACATATGCCCTGGAACCTGAGACTGAGTGCCACCTTCACCATGCTTGGACCCAGACAGAGTCCCCACAACCTTCCTGGGAACCAGACACGGTGAGGATACAGGGGAGACCAACTCACTTGCCTGGGGAACCCAAACAGATTGGGGAAGCAAGGGAAAGTAAAAATGTGCAAAAATCCTCAATTACTTGGGTAGGAGATTCTGGTAAATTTTTAACATTATTAGAAAAACAGAAATTTCAGTATGTTGATAGGAAGAAGGGGTAGCCACTAGTAAAAAACAGAAAAAAAGGATTTTAGAGAGAAAAAATAAAGAAAATAATGAGATGGCAATGATAAGGCCAAATATGTCAGGAGCTACAATAAATGTCATAGAATAAATTACACTATTCCAAGGCAGAGACTCTGAGATTGGATTTAAAAATGTCCACAGGGGACATTCATTCATCCACTTAACACAAGTCTGGTGAGGTGCTCGCTTCGGCAGCACATTCACTAAAACTGGAACGATACAGAGATTAGCATGGCCCTGCATGAGGATGACATGCAAATTGATGAAGGGTTCCATATTTTAAAGAGACAGAGAAGTCTGGTGAGGTATTGATGGCAGGGAAACATCTCCTGGACATCATACACCACCACCCCCACATCACCCAATATCTTCTTCCTTCCAGGTTCCCCTCCCAACGATGGCCCCGCCACCCATCCAGTCCTCCAAGCCCAATTCCTAGACATCGGGAAGTTATTTTTTTCTTTTGCATCAGAGTAGCTATTAATTGTACTCCCCTTTCCTGCACGTAAGCAACTGCAGCTCCATGTTGGATACATTTAATCTTTACCATTATTTTACCAACTCCTTAAATCTTCATTTTACAGATGAAGAAATTGAGGCTCAATGAGGTCAAGCTGCTCACCCAAGGTGGCAGAGTTCCTAAGTTGTTGAAGGCAGGATTCAAACCCAAGTCTTCTGTCTGCCTCTAAAACAGAAGCTTCTGATCAATGTGCTACACTGACAGTCAGGGTGGGTCAGGCGGGGGATGGGAGAGGAGGTCAGGATGGGGATGGGAGCAGGGGATGGGGTTCTAGAGACAGTAGAGAAGGGGTAGAAAGGGGAGCTAGTGAACACTTGAGTCTGATCATGTGGCTCCATTTCACTCAGGTTAAAAGCCACAGTTCTCCCTGCAGCCCACTCCACACAGTCTGCCGCTGTTACTTCCTACCACTTACCCCCTCCCATCCTGCTTCAGCTGCACTGGCCTCAATGGTCCCTGAGCATGCCGAAAATACTCCTACCTCAGGGCCTTTGCACTGGCTGTTCCCTCTGCCTGGACACTTTCCCAGAGGCCCACATGACTCCCTCTTTGGGATTTAGCTCAAGTGTCACCTCAGTGAGGCCACCCCTCACCATACTCAAAGTTTCAATCTCCCCATGGTCCCGGATCCCACCTTCTGGCTTTATTTTCCTCCAAAGTCCTTTCCTCATCTGGCAACTATACATTTTACCTTTTTCTCTTATTAAATATCTGCCCATCCTTACTAGAAACATGAGCTCCGGTAAGGCAAGAGCTGCACTTTTCACTGCTTTATCCCAAGAGCCTAGAACAGAGCTGCCACATGGTGGCTGCCTGATGTTTGTCCAGTGCCTGCATGTCTTTCCCCATGCCCACAGGAAGGGAAAGTGTGTCGCTGAAGAACAAAGGACTTTGAGGGTCAGAGCACCAGGAGCTGTTTAGATCCAAGGGACTGAGACCCCCTCCCTCCTCAAAACTGTGTGTCCTGACCTGCTCCTCCCCCATAGCCCCCCAGAGATAGGTCCACAGCTGTCATAAATTAAATTTATTTTTCAGAGAACATGGTCCTTGATGTTAAATGGTGGATGGGGGGAGAAGGGGGAGGAATTAGGGCCTCAGGAATAGATGTGAAGCCTGGGTGCCAGGTGCCAAGAAACAATCTCAAATTGACTCCCCAGAGATTATCAATGGCATCAGCATCCCATGGAGGACCCAGTCCCCCTTTATTTCTTTTTCTTCTTACCGCCCCAGCCGTGGCGGCCTGCCTTCCTCCCGCCTCCATTATCTCTTCTGCTCTGCCAACTGGGCATAGGAGCTTCCAACTCATCTGGACGTCCCCCTCGGTCTGGCACATTGCCCATAAGCACCTGAGAGTTGATTAGACTTTAGTTTCAGAAAAGAAAAGTATCTTGAACAAGGGGGCCAGAGAGCCAAGGGAGCAGCATGAGTTTAAAAAAGGGCAGATGTTGACCATTTGGGTACAATGGGTGGGATGGTCTGGGGCAGTGGTCGGCAAACTCATTAGTCAACAGGGCCAAATATCAACAGTACAATGATTGAAATTTCTTTTGAGAGCCAAAGTTCTAAAACTTAAACTACATAGATAGGTACATTGTTATTAATGTAATTAGGGTACTCCTAAGCTGGCCTTTGCTAAAACTCAAGGGGCCAAAGAGCCGCATGTGGCTCTTGAGCCGCAGTTTGCCGATCACTGGTCTGGGGTGCTGGATTGGTAGAAGATACAGGCTGGAGGTTTCAAACTGGGTTCCAGGAGCCTCAGGAAGAAGAAAATAAAATTGAGAGTGATGGCAGAGGTCCAAGTCTCCACCCATAGTAATAAGGACACCTCAATTTATATTTATTTTATATTTGGCCTTTGTATAATATTTCCAGTAAAGCAGTGTATTTTTTTCTAAATATCCATCACTTGTGCATTACCTATAATATTATTTACTTACTATATTTCCTTAAAGCAAACAACTTTCGTAAATTTTACTTCTCTTTGCTGTGCTAGATTTTATTCCCTAGTATTCACTTAAGTATAAGACTATTTAGACAGAGGTATGAGGCCAAATAACAAGCATTTAAACAGAGGGTATCTCTGCTTTTAAAATGGCTGAAAACTTGCCGAAATGGGTTTGGCTCAGTGGATAGAGCGTCGACCTGTGGACTGAAAGGTCCCGGGTTCGATTCCAGTCAAGGGCAAGTAACCTGGGTTGTGGGCACATCCCCAGTAGGGTGTGTGCAGGAGGCAGCTGATCGATGTCTCTCTCTCATCAATGTTTCTAGCTCTCTATCTCTCTCCCTTTCTCTCTGTAAAAAATCAATAAAATATTTAAAAAATAATAAAAAATAAAATAAAATAAAATGGCTGAAAACAAATATAATAGAGTGAGATGTTGGGGGAGGAATCTAAGCCAAAGCTGGAGAGGTGGGCCAGGGGCTCAGCTGGGCTGTTGGAAAGGCACTGGGGGCCACAGGAGGGTTTTTAGCGAGGTGGGGACATGGCCAGATTTCTGAGTTAGAAATATCCTTCCAACACTATGTGGAGAGAGTGGATTAGAGGTGAATCCCGAAGATAGGAAACCAGGCAGAGGAGAGGACAAAGCCGAGCCGAGGTCGAGGTTGAAAGGCCAGTTTGAAGGCCAAAGATGCTGGGGCCCTTCCCCAACCCCAGATGCCCACCTTGTTGATGGCACAGCTGGTCCCTCGGCGGGCAGCCTTGCTCGTGGCTGGGATAAGACGAGACAGATCAGCTCGGGCAGCCAGGATGTGTGCAATGGAGACATCCGATTCTGGGGTCAGAGTCTCTCGAATTGGAATCAGCACTGTCTTCATGGCCTCCCCTTTGGCCTGGGGATTGTGAGGGAACATGGAGAAGGTACCCAAGAGCCAATCAGGGTGGGAATCTCTCATTTTTCTCACTCAGGGTCTCACTTCCCACTTCTCTAAATAAGGGGTATAGCTCTGAAAACACTTCCAACTCAGAGCTGGGAATTCTAGAAGGTCCTGGAGGCTCTGAGATTCTAGGACCCCAACCTCACAAGATTCAACATTGTCCTGGGACCTCAGAACATGCAAAAGGGTAATATTCCTGGCCTTAGTTCCTCTTCCCTGCAGGGGTAGCTCCCCCCATTGGGCCTCCTTGACCCTTCCAGGGTCCTATGCCCACACCTCTGCCCGATCACTCCAGTGGAAAGCAGATATTGTGAGGTCCAGGCGCTTGAGGAGGAGGTAACGGCGGCAGCAGTACTGATCTCCCAGGCTTTGGCACAGAGACTCCAGTGCTTCCTGGTGAGAAAGGTCTTGGTCATATCACTCCCATCCCTGAATGAGACACTTTGCATACAGCCATACAGTCTTACCCATCTGGGTGCATCTAGTGGGTGGCTTAGAAGGGGCTGCAGGGATCCTGGGGGCAGGGAAGGCAGCAGCTCTGAGACCTGATGGGAGAAGTCAAGAGGCTGAATGACTATAAGAAACTGTGGGAATTATCCATCGACCCTAGTTTCCCAAAGCCCTGAGGACCCAGACCACAGATGGCTCTGGTAAGGAGAGGACTCTTGCTTTCTACCTTGGCATGCAACTCCCACAGCAGCCTGCTGGCCAGGGTCCCCAGTGCAGGTCTGAGCAACCCCAGGGCTTGGAGGATAAGGATCAGTTCCCGAACCATGCCAGCTCCCTCCTCTGTCCCTTCCCCATGGGTTTCGGGCACCGCTGGGGTGGGATCCAGCCGCTGGTGTAGGCGGAGGAGGCGGGCAGCCTGGAGTTCTGTGCAGAGAAAGCCTAAAAGCAGGGAGAGTGGCACAATCACCCACCTGAGCCAAAAAGCTGCTTCTTTGGGGCGGGGGAGGGTTTGAGGGAAGGGACAAAGCTCCTGCAGCTTCAAACCCTCCCTCTTTCTAGGCCTTGGCCTGTGGCTTGGCGAGTTTGATTTCCGTTCAAGGTTAAGGGCAGGTACCTCTGTTGCGGCCGCGAGAGGCAACCAATCAATGTGTCTCTCTCAGGTCGATGTTTCTTTCTCTCTCCCTCCTCCCTTTAGCACTCTCTAGAAATCAACGGGAAAAGTGTCCCCAGGTGAGGATTAGAACAAAAACATCTTCCCTCTTTCTAGTTCCGCCCTTCTAGGGCCCTGGCTCTAGCTCCAGAATAATCTCCACCCACTTGAGACCCAGGCCCCTGCGGACTTTGAACCTCGCCCACCGGAGGACCAACTGCCAGGCTCCAACTAACACAACCCACTGGAGCTCCAGGATCTTTCCATCAAAATTCTAATCCCGCCCAACTCAGAGCCCTAAATCCACCCGCAAGGTCCTGACTCCACACCCACCTGCCCCTCCCGCAGCTCCCCCCCCCCCCCGCACTCTGGCCACGCCCCCTCAGGGGACGCCTGGGCCCAGCTCCGCGCCCGGCGCCGCGCTCACGCTGAAGGCGCAGGCCGGCGCCCGGCTCCCGCAGCGCGGCGGCGCAGTCCCCGCCGCAGAGCGCGCGGTCCGGGCAATGCAGCTCCTCCAGCAGGCGGCGCAGCTGTCGCAGGAATTCCTCCTCCGCGCCGGGGCCTGCGGGAGGCGGAAGGCTCAGCGCGGGGCGGCGGCAGGCTCAGCGCGGGGCGGCGGCACCGGGCTCCCCCTCCGGGCCTGCCGCTCCACACGTACCGTCGCCGGCACTCAGCGCCTCCGCGCCCTCCTCTCGCTCCCGCTCCAAGGCGCCCAGAGTCGCCAGCTCAGCCGCCAGCCGCGCGCACAGCGCCCTGAAGTCTGGGCACAGGGAGCTCCGCGCCGCCGCCTCCAGGAAGTCCTCATACCTGCGGCGGCGCCAGGGCGAGAGGGAGCCGGGGAGGCCCTCAGAATCCCCGAGGGCAGCCTGCCCCTTCCAGCGCCGCCCTCCGCCACACCGCGCCCCTTACCCCAGGGCCTGCAGGTCGTGGGCTACGGCGGCCCCCTCCCGTGCCTCGGCCTCCGCCCCCTCCATAGAGACGTGGCCTCCTCGCAGGGGTGCGCCCCCTGCCGGGAGGTGGGAGGCCCCGCCCCAAACGCGGCGTGCGCAGCCGGCCGCAGCGCGCCCGACCCACAGCCTCTTCTCGCAAAGGGCCTCTGCGCTCCCGGTCGCAGTGGGAGACGAGCCGCCTAGGCCCGCCCGCGCCGTATTTTAGGCGCGCGGCCTGGGATAGCAATGAGGGGCTTGGAAGCTCTCCAGGCCTGGGAAGTCGGAGCTGAGTCCAGGGTCCCGGCTGTTGGGGCTAGCCAGAGGGTGTCGCTACTGCTGCAACGTAGTAGCACCTTAGACTTTTTCCTCAGCCTCCCTTCTCTCTTAAAGCACTCTAGACCAAGTTCTTCCACCTCCGCTCCAAATCCAAAAACGTACTTATTCCCTCCTTGCTTAGGGTTGGAGTTAAATCAGGAACTCAGAAAGTGCGGCCCCAACAGAGGCCCTCCTCATGGATCACACTGTGCTTGTCTCGCCTTCATCCCTCTGTCTCTCAAGCCTTGGAGAGAGGGAGCAGGTGCCGCATAGCCAGTGACTGATATTACACCCTGGGAGTCAGGCCAACAGGGGTTAGGATTTGACTCTACTCACATATGTCCCTGCCAAATTCCCTTCTAACCTACAAGGAAGGGGACATTACCTTTTACAATTGTGAGGGTTAGAGCCCTGTATGTAAGTGCTTAGTAGAATATCATATATTGAGCATTTCCTGTGTGTCTGTGGGCCAAGTAGCTGAGGTTTAGAGAGGGAAGTTACATGGTGGTGCCAGAACTCAAATTTAGATCATTCTGAAGTCCATGCGTTTAACTATTTAACCTATTACTACTGTTATTACTGCTACTGTTTTGTTGTTGTTAAAATTGGGTCCAGATTTAATCTTTTACTGACTCTTTATTCTGATCTCCAGTAGTTCCTAGTTTAATTCTGCTGGGAGCAGGGATGGCCTAGGTGTTTAGCCTCAGGCAAGAACAAAGGCCAGAATTTCCTCCTCAGGGGCAGAGCCTACCTACCCTTAATCTGGCTCCACCTTAGTCCTGTCTACCTCAAAAATGGGTATTCAGGAGGCCTTCGTTAACCCTAATAAAACATTAAAAATTGCCCAAGCCAAAACCCAGGAATCAACCTTGACTTCTCTCTTTATAGCAAACCCCATATCTAAATTTGTGAACTCTACCTTCAAAACACTTCTCCCCACCTCCACTGCTCTCACCCTGGTCCTCTGCACCATCGTCTCCCTAGGACCATCACATCAGCTTCCTCCCTACCTCCCTTCCCAGTGTCTGTTCCCCAGAGGCAACCTGTGAACACCTAAGTCAGGTCACAGCCTTCCTCCCCTCCGTCCCCCCCAATGTTTGGAGCCTTTCTATAGCTTCTTCTCACCCAGGGTGAACACCAAAGTCCTTGCAATGGCTTGCAAGTTCCCACAGATCTGCCCTCATCTCCTAAGTAACCTTCTCCTTGCTTTCTCCCCTCCAGATACTCCAGCTCCCTTAATGTCCCTGACTTGCCAGACATGCTCTACCCGGGGCCTTCTACTGACCCTTCTTTTACTTGCAGAGTTCTTCTTCCAGAAGACATTTCTCAGGGTTCTATTCAGATGCTCAACAGTGAGGCCTAACCTAATCACCCTGACTACAACTGACTTCATCCCTCATCTCCACGTTTTCCCCACAGTACATACCGTTTCTTACATGTCATTCCCTATAAAGTTCATAAGCAGCTTGTGGGAAATTTTTATGTTCTGTTCACTGCTTTCTCTCCAGAGCCTAAAACAGGACGTGGCATATAATGGGTGCTCAATAAGTGCATTTGGTGGAATGTATATACTCAGCTAAGCGTCTGCTTGGGACTAAAGGATACGGAAAAGAGAACTGGGTAGGAGATTGGTTTGATAGTTCAGGAAGGTGAGTGGATGGGGCATGTCAATGCAAATAAAAACACAGGCTGAAACTTTGTTGAAGACATTTCTTAGAGCGAATATCTCATGCCCCCTCCTCTGATGACAAGGCTGGGTCTTTGGCTCCCTCACCACTTCAGTAACAATATTGAGGTCACAGACTGGCTTGGAATCAAGATCAGGAAAATAAATGTCAGGGTGTCTCCCCTAAATCTGGGGGCCAAGTATCCAATCTGAGGGGCAAGCAGCTGGGAAATTAGGCCTGGGCTCCAGGGTGTGAGGTCTTCCTGGGTCCCAAGATCAGCCCTCCATGCACCCAATTTTGGGGTGATGAAGAGAATTCATGGATCAGAGGTGGGTATCATCAGGGCGCAGGTCTGGGAGACCTTGACAAGGTGGTGTTGGGGGATCTTCACCCCAGCCCCCCACCGCTTCATGTAGATACCACAGTACCTTACAGCGTCTGGTCCCCTGACCCACCCCTCCCCAAAATGAGGTAGGTTAAGAATGGAGCTTTCCCCTGCCCGTCACTGGAGGGACAGGAGGTACAGAAAGGGGGATGGGGACCCAGGGTACCCCAAACCCCAATGCCTCTGTCTCAGTTCTGATGGGTCTAACAGTGATGAGAACTGGGTAGAGTGGGAATGAGAGGGACACCCTCTTTTTTTCTTACCCATCCCAGAGTCTGGTTGGGAGAGCTGAATCTCACAGGTTCAGATGTAAGAAATAGTTAATCATTTAAAAGAAGTGACAGAAAGCTCTATCTCTCTAGGCCCCCTGACCTAGTCCTTGAACCATGCCACCCAAGTCTAGGTATTGAAGAAAGATAAGTTCACCAGATGCAGGACCCAAGCCCATATACTGATTTAAGATGGTGTTGCTCCAAGACTTCGGTCCCCTCATCCCTATTTAGGCTATCAGATTTGAGGGATCTTGAAGTCCCATTCCACTCAAGGAAAAGAAACTTTGGCATCCCCTTTCCCTTGAACAGGAATCTCAGGGGGCCATGAAACAGGCTTTCAAACTTCTGAAGCAACCCTCAACTCTGAGATGTAAGAGAAAGGGTTAATGGAGCTTGGACTAGGACTGGGACTCAAGATTGGGCTTGGGGAAGAGTCTGGAGGGCTGGAGAGTATGTGTGTGCACCAGCAGAGCCATAGCTGGCCCCAAATGTGCCTTTGTGCAGCTTAGAAAAAGGCACTCCTTCCTCCGAGAGCAGTGTTGAGATGAATCCCAGCCACCTCACCACCGTAGCCAGGTGCCTTTGGCCAGTGAATAGCCTGCACAATCACCTATGGAAATGTTGAGAATGGAGGAACTCAGTGGTCCTAGAACCCAAAAACAGTTCACAATGGTGGTCTCCCCCTTTTCCCCCCCTCCCCCAGGGTAAAGATAGTTATGTGGTTTGCTGGGAACATGCAGGGGGTGGGGGAAGAGAATGACTCTGGAACTAGAATTCCAGAGTGCCATAGCCTGGGATCTTGGGGGTCTCAAGGACCTATGGATAGCAGAATTCAAGAGACAGCAGATCACAGGGAATATCAGACTAGAGAAGTTTGAGTTCAAAGAAATCAGATCTGAGGGTGCTGGGGTCCTGGGGCACCTCAAATCTCACTCTGGTATAAAGGGACCAAGATCTCAGGTCTGTGATAATCCCAATGCTATGTAGGCTTGAGCCCTGAATTTGAAAGATCAGTGGCACCTTGGGGTCACTCTAAGCTGGGGACCAAGGTCAGGGTTGTCATGAACAGCCCATCCTCTGGGAGCAAGGCTTCCAGCCTTTAGAGGATTGGGGAATCTGTGGGTACAAAGAAGCCAAAGATTCCAGGACATTCTGGGGCTTGAAACCTAAGTCCAAGAGGGCTATCTAAGGATATGGTACCAGTGTCTTGGGTCCTGAGGTGTTGGTGGCCTTCAGTCCTAATCTGAAAGTACTAGGCACCTCAGCATCCTATATGAGATTCAAAGCTCCTGGAAACATTGGCTGGGGAGGTTAGGAGGGGCGGGATGTCTGCAGCTGTTTTTGATCTCTGGATCCCAGAGTATCTTGGAATCTGATGTCTGGACTGGGGGATGGAGGAGGGAAGGGGGAGAAAAGATGAGGCTATAAGATTAGTACCCCAAGCCATTTTGGTCAGAGAACATCTATTTGGGCATATCCTCGAACCCAGGGCATCTTAAGAGGGTTTGGTGTCTTAGGGGTCCTAGGGCTAGAACACCTCAAATATGGGTGCCCCAATTTAGATGAGCATTCAGGAATCATTTGGGGTGATTCTGGGAATAACTGTATACAGGCAGGGTCAGGTATTCGAAACTCCTTACTCTTTGGGGCTGTAATCTGCGGTTCAGTCAGGGTTCGGGGCCCTGGCTCTGCCAGGGTCCTGTGTGCCCTGAGGTGTAGAGCCTGGGATGACTAGTGGCCTCAGTCTAGGTCACAGGGGGAGGGGCACAGCAGGATGAGGATGCCAGAACTCAGCATGCCTAAGACTTAGGCAGACAGCTCACTGAAGCTGGGCCTGGGATCCCTCAGTCCTAGATTTGAAGTCCAGGTTCCAGGTCTGGGGTCTCTCAATTTAAACTCAAGCTTCAAATTCCAGGTGTGCCTAAGTTTAGATTTTGGGTTCTAAACGGAGCCCGGGGTCCTGGACCCTCAATTTTGGGTCCACCAGGCCATCCTCACCGCACGGCCTCCTCGTGGCGACCTCCGCAGCCCGCGCAGCCGCATCGTGCTGCAGCCCAGTGGCAGGCGCGCAGGGGCGCATAGCAGCAGAGGCAGGGCACCGCCAGGGAAAGTGCGGCCAGCGCGGCCCAGCGTGCAGCAGGGCGCGGGTGGCCCGGCTCGCAGGCACACGGGTCCGAGAAGTCGCCTTCAGCATCCGACAGGCAGTGGTAGAGCAAGCTCTCTGCACACCACAGGCAGCTGAGACGGCGCACCAGCAGGTGACCCGGGTCCGGGGCCTCGGCACAGCGGCCACCACGCCCATCTGCTCTGCGGCGGAAGAGCGCGCGGCAGTGCACGCAGCGTGCAGCCTCCTCCGCCTCCGGGGAGGCCTTGGCTGGTGCGGGAGGTCCAGCCTCTGGGAGAGGGGCAGGTAGGGCGGCTGGGGGCCCCAGGGCTGCACCCCTCAACGCGCCAGTCTTGGCAAAACGAACAACGCAGGTGGACAAGGTGAGGGGTGAGGGCAGCCCGGCGCGCCTGTAATCCTCATAACCGCGGCTGCTCCAACCCAGCCCTCCAGCCCCGGCCAGGGCCTCTGAGGGCTCCGGAAATCCTGTCAACGGTAGGAGCGGAGGATAGCTCTGTGGGATGAAGAGACAGAACTCATTAGTGGGGTTTGTGATCCCTGACATCCCATCACAATCATAATCCAGTCTAGTCTCAGAAAAACCTGAGAATTCAAAGACTTCTCCACAGGCTTCATTCACCAGAGGATCCTGTCCAGCAGTCTTCCAAACCCCTAGCCCCACTCCTTTCTCAGGGTCAGAGGAAATTTAGGGACAGAAGAATCCAGGCACCAAGCCCAGTAGTCCAGGCTCCCGTCCTGTGCTCTCTCAAAATCTAAGAGCAACCCCCTAATACTAGAATAATTCATGGCTCAAGTCGTCCACCAAACCCCTCTGGAATCTAGAACTAATTTCCAGGAGCGCAGAAGACGCTAGAAACCCTCACCCAACCCTCCAATGATCCCAGACTTTCAAATTCCACCCTATCCCACCATAAACTCCAGTCAACCACCTCTAGTGTGTTTGTGGTTTCTTGCCCCTCTTCAGCCCCAGTTCCTGCCCACTTCAGGACTCCGGCCCCCCCATGAGGTGCCCCAGACTTCTGCTGGCGATTGAAGGGCGCACCTGAGTGGAGGAGCATCGATGCTGGGGTGGCGTGGCTGGCCGGAAGCTGGAAGCTGACTCCTCGGTGACCTGGGAGGCCACAGCAGTGGTGGTGGGAGGGGTCTCCTGGCGGCTGTGACTGGAGGAGGAGTCGCTGTCCACGTGGGACTGGGGAAGATTGGTAGCTTCAGAGCCGGATAGGCATAACCCAGCTGATGCCCTCACATAGACCCCCTTCCCTCCAGAGAGAGCTCTGTGGCCAACCAGGCCAGGGTTCAAACCACTCTACCCCCCTCTGACTAGCTGTGTGGCCTCCAGCAAATGAGCTAATCTCTTTGAGCCTCAGTTTCTTCCTTTGTAAAATTAGGATTATAATAGTGTCTATTCTTAAGGTTGTGGTTAGGTGCCACTGTTAAGGGCATAATACATACCTGAAGTTCAGGAAGAGCTAGAAATGGTTATCATTGTTATTTACACACACACACACACACCCCGGGTGCCCCCTCCCCCCCATCTTCTTTACCTGCTCAACTCATGAACCTACATAACATCAAATAATCTTTCTCCCTTCTCAGAAACCTTCTCTTGACCAGCCAGCTGCCTTCCTGCCTCATGTTCTCCACCACACCTTTATTGGGGCAGTTTCATCCACCTAGAATTCCTTCTTTCCCACCCAGACCAAGCTCTATCCTTTATAAGCTGAAACATCACTTCTTGAACTCTCAGTTTCCTTTTTGTAACTTGAGAGTCATTCCTAAGTCATCTGTTTAATATCTTCAATAGCCATTCATTGAACACCCACAACATGGCAGGCTCAAATAGGCTCTTGTAGAGACGTGAGATGAGGCATAGAAGGCATACCACCTTTCCTGAGTAAGCACTCAATAACCAAGAACTATCTATGTGTTTTTTGTAGACCCACCTGAATCTCCCATTACTGGTCTGCCCAGAGAACCAGTTTTTTGTGTTTTCTTTTGTTTGTTTGTTTGTGTGTGTGTTTTAAATATTTTTATTGATTTCAGAGAGGGAGAGATAGAAACATCAATGATGAGAATCATTGATCAGCTGCCTCCTGCACGCCCTTGACTAGAATCGAACCTAGGGCCCTTAAGTTCACAGGTCAATGCCTTATCCACTGAGCCAAACCAGTGAGGGCCAGAGAACCAGTTTTGTTCCTCAGTGTCTCAAGCAACTCTCACTGTTCCCAGCAAATGCCAAATCACATTGGACATTCTGGGCATTTATTGATTCAATAAATTTATTTGACACATCTTTACTGCACTTTATTGTATCTCTACTGGGCCCTGTTTTAAGCCTTGGAGATGCTGCAAGAAAGCAACAAAAGATCCTTGCCCTCTAGGAGCTGACATTCTAGCATGGGAGAATGATAGTAAATTAAAAGATAAGAAAATTGTCTATTGGGAAAGAAAATACATACAAATTTTAGAAGTTGGGGGAAAATTAGAACAGAATAAGGAGCCTTAGGATATTGCAATTTAACAGGTTCTTCAGGGAGGGCCTCAGTGAGAAGGCGATGTGTGTAAAGTCCTGAAAAATATAAGGAAATGAGCCATGCGTAAATGTAGGAGAGTGTCCAAAGACAGATGGACCAGCCAATGCAAAGGCTCTGAGACCGAAATGTGCCTACCCTTTTGGAGTAACAGTGAGGCAAACAGAGTGGGGAAGAGGGAGAAAAAGAGGGGGCCAGATGGTGTGGATTTTATGTACCACTATAAGGACTTTGTCCTTTACCCTGAGTGAGATGGAGCCCTGGGGAGGGTTCTGAGTGGGGGAATGCCATAATCTGACTTAGATAATCAATAGGGTCCCTCTGGTTGTGTTCAGGAAGAGGTGTGTTTTGTTTTGTTTTGTTTTGGGTGAAGGCGTTGACAATGAGAAGCTGGTGGGATGGTCTAGTTAGGAGATGAGGTTGGGCAGTTACCAGATTGAAGGCAGAGTCTGATCATTTTGAAAGTGAAACCAATATTTGCTGATAGAGAAGCATAAAAAAGGAGAGGCATCGAGGTTGACTTCAAGGTTTGTACCCTGAGACACTAAAAGGATGGACTTGTCATTAATTTGTTCATATATTTACTTTTAATATTTATTCATTTTATAGTTTATCTTTTTTTTTTTAATCTGCCTTTCCACACTAGAAGAGAAGCTCCATGAGGAAAAGGACTTTGTTTTGTTCAGTGATGTATCCTCAGTGCCTAAAACACTGTTAATTAAAGTTGGTCAGTAAATACCCTTGAATGAATGTGTGAATATGTTCTATCATGATAGAACAGAAATTAGAATATGTGGGATAGAGTTGACCTGATATTTCTGTCCCTAGCTTGTGGCATGATGCCTGATACACAGTAGGTGCTCAATAATGGTTGTAGAACAGAAACAAACCCCTGCCCTTCCAGCAGAACTGGTCCTGGGAACTCACCGTCAGAGGGCAGGGGGTCTCTGCAGTGTCCTGGGAAGGGGAGGAGGAAGAAGAGGAGGAGGGAGTGAGTGAGCCTGGGACAGGGAGAGAAGCAGAGAATGAGTTCCATGTACCTCAACTTCTCCCACTCCTTCACCCCAGCCCCCAGTGCCCACCACCTCTACTACTCACCTTGACCCAGTGCTGCCAGTGCTTCCAGCAGGCTCCTCTGGAACTCATCAGCTTCTGCAGGACTCTGAAATGTCAGCCCAAACTTGCAGTCACCCAAGCTCCAGTGGTGGAAGATGGGGTTTACCTTGTTGTAAACCAAGCCTGGCCTCAGGGTACACTCCAAGGTAGTCTAGGGCAGGAGGAGCAGGTCAGACACCTCCTTCCAGCCATGTGTAGGACTTCTCCTCCACCCAGACTCTCTGCATACCCTAGATCTCATTTCTCTATCCTAGGTGTATCCCTGAACCTTGATCAATATCACTCCCCAATTTTATCGAGCAGATGTCTGATACTCCAATATTTCTCCCAAGCCCTCTGATCCCTTTTTCCAATTTCCCCCTTCTGATATCCCAATAGGAATCCCAAATCTTATTGAATGCCTCAAAAAATTAGTTCATTTCTGATAATCAAATATCCCTCCTTCTGACTCAATAGTATTTCCCAAACTTTATTAAACTCCTCAAAATATTAGTTAATCCCTTATCAATGCCCCATAATCTCCCAAAACACTAACCCCAAATTCTTATCAAACTCCCACAAATTACCCAACACATGCTGGTAACACCCGAGATAATCCCTTATATCCTTGCCCAACATCATTATATTCTTTCACACCATTTCAAATCCCCATGCATTGCTCCTTCTGGCCCCTCCCCTGAAATGCAACCCTTCCCCCAAGCCTTTGCAAACCATCTAGATCTTTCTACTACACCCCTAACTGAAACTTTAACACTGTTCTTCCCTATCGTGCCCAGAATATGTCTGCTGAACCCAAACATAGGGTTGCAAGTCCTATTTAACATTTCCAGATAGTCCCCCACCAGATGCCTCCAGGGATTTAGGGCAGATAGGGGCCCAAGAGTGAGTGTAGGGCACTGCGGTGAGGACAAGATGGAGCAGTGAGAGGTTGTAAGCAGAGGAAGGATGTGACCTGAGTGATGTGTTAGCAGAGCCCCAGTGGTACACACTGAGGTGGGGGAGGGAGCAGGGCAAGGAGAGCAGTGAGGAGGCTGCTATGATAGTCCATCAGGCGATGGCAGTGGACAAGACCTGCCGAATACTCCAAGTGTTCACGAAACTCCCAACTTTTACCCATAGGACAGATATCCACTTCCAAACTCCATCCCATACTCAAGTTTGATCCCCAGGCTTGGAGATGACCTGACTTCACCTTTGCACTCCCAGGCCCATTTCCCTATTTTCCCAGGCCCCCACCCTAGTCCCGTGCCCCAGGGTGGCTCACTTTCTGGTCCCGGAGTCGCTCCCCGTGGATGACGTAGTGCCCCTGGCGGGCCCCCCCCTCGGGCCTGGCCCCTTGGACCCGACATAAGCTCACCTGGCTGAGGCCCCCGCCCCCCACAGGCAGCCAGCCCCCACTGGAGTCATCTCGGGCCATCACCACAGCTCGGACCCGAACCATGTACCTGGAGGTGGGGGGACAAGGATAACATGGTCAGTGAACTCCAATCCTGTTCTCACATTTCGATGTCTCACGAACCCTTCATCTCCCCTCTTCATTTCTCACATCTGGATCCATTGCAACTTTCACCTTTGATACTCAGCTTACCTTCCATTTCCAGCTTCTTCCCAGTACCCACTTTCTCTCCCTACCCCCTTTTTCCAGCATGGCTTCTTTCTTCCTCGTGCCATCTATTTTCTCCCCTCCCTGCCTTCTCCATATCTACCTTTTCTTTCCATACCCTTTTTCTCCCTCTCCCCATCTTTCCCATCCGGACCCCCACAGCCTTGGGTTTCCACTTCCCTCCCCACTCCTGCTCATACCCATCAACCCCATCTCTTCCCTTCTCTCCGTTCCTACTCATACCCACAGCCCCACCCATTCTTCCCCCTCACAGCTGGGTGCCTGCGCATACGTATTTTCTTAGAGCCCATCAAGTCAGCTCCAGTCCCCCCTTCACTGCCTCTGCACGCTGCGTTCAGGCCACTGGGCTCTCCCCCCCCCCCCCTTCCCGCATTTATGAATGAGACCGGATGCAAAGTTCACTGAGTCACCCAGCAACGGGAGATGGTCAGAGAGAGAACCAGAAATGACCAGAAAGAGGCCGGCAAGGAGATGGAGGCAGAGGAAGCCAGAAACTGGCGACAGAAACACATCCAGAGAGCATTTCATTCACAAAAACAAAACAAAAAAGCAAGCCTGCACCCTCAGGCCCCGGCCGTGGGAAGGCGAAGGGGAGATATTGGCGGGGGAAGGGGGTGGGAGTTGATCCCTCCTTCTCCCCGCCCCAGCATCCTTCAAAACCATCTAACCTCGCGCCGCCGTCTCCCCCCCCCCCCCCCCCCCAGCTCAGGAGACTTAGCCCTTTGCCCCTCACTATCACCTAGTGCAGGGACCCTGGCGTCCCAGACTTAGGGACCCATGCAGCGAACCCTGGCCCTTTCCCCCACTAGCAGGCTACCGGTTTCCCCGGCCCTTCAATAGGGGTAGGGGCGGCCTCAGAGCCGCCAACGCCCCCAGCCCCCTTTTCTCAATGGGATGGGATTTTGTGAATGAGCAGTCACGTGACACTGCTTCCTTTGTCCGCCCGCCTCCCCGGACAACAGGTGAAGCAGAGAAAAAGGGCAGGGGTCCCCTGCAGGGCCTCGCTTGGAAGGGACGCCGGGATTTCTGGGTGCTCTATGATCTCCACACATCTGATTCCCGGGAGGAGTGGTCCCACAGCTTCTCACTGGTGAGGGTCCTGAACCGAATTTTATGAATGGAGCATCCTCGGAGGAAGTCCAGGCCCCCCGAATGGAGACTGCTACCCCAAATGGCTGCCGCGCAGTTTAGGAGCCCCCACCCCCTTGTTCTTCCAGCCGGAATCTGGGGACGCCCCGGGGGGCAGGAGGCGCAACGCGGTGCAGGTCGTCTCCACACCAGGACAGCCCTCGCCCCCTCACCCTCCTCGGCACCTGCCTGGGAGGCTCCGGCCGGGCTCCGAGCGGCGGCGACGTGGCCTCCTCCTCCTCCTTCTTTTCGCTCCGGCTCCCTCGCTTGCTCCAGCGGCGCTAGAGACGGGCTCCGGGAGCCGGGACGAGAGGGGAGGAAGGGGGAGGGGGAGCCTTGGGGTGGTGTAAACGCCAGGCGGGAGTATTTGCCCGCTGGGTCCTAGAGCCCGGCACCAGCTCCTGGGAACAGCCCTGAGCGCCCATTTTCTCAGGATCTAGAAAGGATACCCTCCTTTCCCACCCATGAGCGCCTAAGGATGTGGGGAAGGGGTCCGGGACATGGCCTGGTCTCAGCGTTCTAAAGAGGCGAGGGTCTACGCTTTGGATACTAGACGGAAGGGGCTAAGTGCTGCCGCGTTAGAAAGACTTGGGGCGAGAAGGGAGCATTCACTAGGGGGCGAGATCTGAGGCCCCTGGAAAGGAGAGACAGGACGCCCAAGGCGCAGACAAGTGAGTACTGTCTTGGAGAAGGGCCAGTCCATGGTGGATGGACCTTTTGGGCGGGCAATGGACAGAGAGGGTCTTGTGAGATTAGGAGTAAATTGTGTTGTTGTTTTTTTTGTTTTGTTTTGTGTGTGTGTGTGTGTTTACAGTTTTCATAAAGGTCTATTTCATTATTGGTGGGTAGCTCATTTAACAGTTAAATACATTAAATAATGTATAGGTGACTGCAGGACTGCCGCATTGGTAACTAGGTAACCAATTCAACTAGAAATCAGCTAATAAGTAACTATCTATATACATATTTAAAACACAGCTCTTGTTTAGCTCATCCTGTTTTGATCACCTTCTTGAAGGGGAAAAAATCTGCTGGTCACACTGGAAATATATATATATATATATATATATATATATATATATATTCTTGATTTTTTTACCAAGAGGAAGAGAGAGGGATAGAGAGTAGAGGGTTAGAAACATCGATGAGAGAGAATCATCAATCAGCTGCCTCTTGCACACCCCCTACTGGGGATGTGCCCGCAACCAAGATACATGCCCTTGACCAGAATCCAACCTGGGACCTTTCAGTCTGCAGGCCAACGCTCTATCCACTGAGCCAAACGGTTTTGGCTACACTGGAAATATATTAAGGCCAAATCTTCTGATATCCATTCCCAGAGATTGCTTTCAGCTGGATTAAGCCTCCTTTAGGAAGACTGCCAACAACTCCAGGGCAAGCCCGTTTGTGGCCACCTGCATTAATGCTCTTCCCATCTACCAGGGCAGGCAGTGTAAGCTTCACACCAGGCCTCAGAGTCTGAGTATAGCCCATTCCAAATAAACTAGAGTTATTGACTTCTGCAGAAATGGAAGCAGTGGGATCCAACTGATATTTAGCTGCAATACCAAAGCGAGTGCAATTGGTACCCGAAGTCTAAGCAAGGTTTAGAGCCTCCAAATTCTGTCCCATCATTGACATTAGTGTGCAGTTGAAAGTTCCCAGTCCTATAGCCCACTGCAAAGTTATTCCTTGTAAGTTTTTAAAAATATATATTTTATTGATTTTTTACAGAGAGGAAGGGAGAGGGATAGAGAGTTAGAAACATCGATAAGAGAGAAACATCGACCAGTTGCTTCTTGCACACCTCCTACTGGGGATGTGCTGGCAACCAAGATACATGCCCTTGACCAGAATTAAACCTGGGACCTTTCAGTCCACAGGCCGACGCTCTATCCACTGAGCCAAACTGGTTTTGGCTATTCCTTGTAAGTTTTGATTTGGCACTGTCAAAGGTCATCTGGTATCCAGCAAGCCAGCCTACGTAACCAAAGACAGCTGAACTATGGATTGCAGGTCCAGCAAAATCAAAGTCAACATCACATCCAAGGTTTATACATTCCCTCTTGTAAGAAGACTTGATTTTACCACTTTTCTTTCCCGCGTTTGGTAAAAGATGGTATCAAATGTCAGTTTCAAACCTTGACAAATCTGGTCTTCAATTGCTATTTCTGTTCCCAGGGTGTTATCAGTGTTCCATTTCTCTGTGAAAGTCAGACCATACTCACACCATTTATATTTGGTCTCCAAGGTCCCAGTAACTTTACCAGTGTCTGTATTAAATGAACCAGATGAGAATTCCACGCCACTGCATGACTTTGTTTTCCAGTCCAGTTTCACCAACCCCAAACCAAATCCTTTGTTGAAAACATCTCTGGCAGCTTTGCCAAGGTCAGCATATGATGGAGGAATACACATTAGCCGCGCGCAGCTTTGTCCGTAGGTCGCCATGGCGAGGCCGCGGGAAGAGGTGGTCTAGTGACTCCTGGGGGGGCCGTCCCGCCGCTCCGCTCGCAGCTGAGGCAGTTTGGCTCGCTCGGTGTCGGGCTGCGGCTGCCGCGGTGGAGGGCGAAGTGAAGGAGACCTGGAGTAAATTGCTTTGGGGAAGGGGCGCATGAGAGATCCAAGAGAGGAGCTACGAGGCAGTGTTCCTAAAGGGCGGGCCTTAGGGAGACGGACTAATGGGACGGCGGGGTATTGCAAAGGGGCGGGCTAAGGAGAACGTCCTAAAGGGGTGGGGCTTGGAACTCGAGGCCTAGGAGTAGGGAAGAAGACCCCCGAGTATTTCGGAAGGAGATCCAGGTTCGTGAGAGGCCAGTTTCAAGCAGTTTAACAGGAGGGCGTGGCCTCGAACCAGGGGGCGTGGCCTAGATCTCGGGGTCCGCCCTAGCTGTCTCGCCCACTTGCCTTCACCCGCATCCCCGTTCTTTTCGGTTATTTTCTTCTACGGCCGTTCCCCGCCCTGCCCTGGGCCCAGGGGGCCGTGGTGTGAACTTTGGTGGGCAGGAGAAATCGGTGAGTGGGGAACCTCTGGGCGGAGGAGCCAAGGGCAGAACTTGGGGGAAGGGATGGGGCCTGAGTGTTGAGGCCAGCGGTAGAACCCGAGTAGGAAAAGTTTAGGAGTGAGGCCTGAAGCTCTGCCGCTGCTTGGATAGTAGGCAGGCCCCAAATGATCCACATAGAGATAGATAGATAGATAGAGAGAGAGATATCAGAGGATTAGAGGTGAGGACTGAGGGCTGAGCATTACTAGAACACCTGGAATTTGTTAGGTGGAGGCGGGGCCCGACCGGAGTAGGTGTTGAGGAGGCTCTATTCCAGACAATTGGGGGGTGAGGTTATTGTGCAGGGAGAGAAGCTTGAACTTGTAGACCTTATAGGTTACTGAGCACAACCACCATGAGTGATGTGGCCTAAGAGAGAAAAACGGGCAAGACCTGTGTCTTGGAGCCTGAAGACCTAGGAGGTGGCCAAAGTGTAGGGATGTGAGCTGAGGGGCCAGCCAAGGCATTAGGGATGGAACCTCATTAAAGTAAGGATGGAGCCTGTGTGTACACAGCAGCTGTATGGGGCTATGGGGAAGAAGGCGTGAGCGTCGTGAGTCAGGGAACACGAATGCGTTTAGAGACTGGTGCTTGAGTGGACCAAGTACAGCCAGTTTCGTCGGGTCCCCACAGTCCTGGCAGACGGACTGATGCAAATTTTTCTGACCACAGTCTCCGACCTCAGTCAGAAATGGGGAACGTGCAGTCGGAGCCGTCCGCGGGCGGGGGCTCCCGAAAAGAGCAGGCCTCGGACCGCTCTTCCGATTCCCGCCGGACATCCTTGGCGGAGCCCGAGGTGACCCCCTCCTCCCCTGCCGTACGCCTGGCTCGCGGGCTGGGCGTCTGGTTCCCCAGCAGCTCAGCGCCCCAGGGACTCCTGGTACCCCCGGAGCCGCAGGCCTCACCCTCACCCCTGCCCCTGCCCTTAGAACTGCCCACGCCAGTGATACCCCCTGCAGAGGAGCCGGCTGCGGCCGCGGTCTCCACACCATCCCCACCCCCCGTGGGCACCTTATTGCCCACGCCGTCCAAGTGGCGAAAACCCGCGGGCACTCCGGTGCCTAGGATCCGTGGTCTACTGGAAGCAAGCCATCGCGGCCAGGGCGACCCTCCGAGCCTCCGCCCACTGCTGCCGCCACGGCCGCCGCCGCCGCCTGTGCCACGAACGGAAGAGGACCCCGATCCAGTCCCGAGGGTCCCATCCCTGACTCCCGCATCCTTGGAGCCGCGAAAGACGTCACCACCGCCCCCTTCCGACCAGCAGACCCCGGACCACAAAATAAGTCCTGCTCTGGCCACACTGGCCACAGCCCCCATAGAAAACCAGGTCCCTTGCAGCAGTGAGCGCCAGGCAGCCGGCAGGGCTGGCGGCGGAGCTCCTGCCCAAGCAGGTGAGGGTGAAATGGCCCGGCCGGTGGCCTCCGAGTCCGGCCTGAGTCTGCTATGTAAAGTCACCTTCAAGTCGGGGCCTCCTTTGCCCCCAGCGGCAGCATCGAGTTCCTTAGTCGCCAAAGTCTCGCTAGGGGGCAGTGGAGGCAGGGGACTCTTCTCCACTGCCTCGAGCGCCATCTCTTATGCCGAGGTCCTGAAGCAAGGGCCCCTGGCTCCCGGGGCCGCTCGCTCCCCTGGAGAGGCCCCTCGGGTGACCCAGGAAGCAGAGGGCGGTAATGGAGACGGCGAGGGGTGTTCTGGACCCCCCTCCGTGCCTGCGTCCCACGCCCGGGCCCTTCCGCCACCACCCTACACCACCTTCCCAGGCTCCAAGCCCAAATTTGACTGGGTGAACCCTCCCGATGGCCCTGAACGCCACTTCCGCTTCAACGGGGCAGGCGGAGGCATCGGGGCCCCCAGACGGCGCGCAGCCGCGTTCTCAGGTCCCTGGGGCTCCTTGCAGCCTCCGCCAGGGCAGACGCACCCAGCTCCCGGGCCCCGGAGGCCCGCACCCGCTTTGCTTGCACCGCCTATGTTCATCTTCCCAGCGCCCACCAATGGAGAGCCGGTGCGCCCCAGGCCTCCCGGCCAACAGGAGTTGCTACCGCCTCCGCCACCGCCCACACCACCGCCCACGCCGCCTCTGGCGCCGCAACCCATACCGCAGCCCCCAGTTCTCCAGCCAAGGCCACTGTTTGCGGCGCTCCCACCAAACCCAGGCTCAGGCCACTTGGAGTCCGCCCAGGCTACCGCCCCGCCCCTCGCCTTGGCTGCAGACCAGGCCCCGGCCCCGGCCCCGGCCCCGGCCCCGGCCCCAGCTCCCACTAAGGCCGAACCACCACCACCTGCGCCCACGCCCACGCCCGCGCCCATCAAAACCCGCACACGCAGAAACAAGGGCCCGCGCGCTGCCCGGGGCGCGACCCGTGAGGATGGTGCACCTGGAGAAGGTCCTCGTGAACGGACTGCAGCTTCCATCACTGACAGCGGTGGAGGTGGTGGCGGCGGCGGAGCTCCTCCAGCGGGGACGGCTAACACTGCTGCCCGACGCCACTGGCCGCCCTTCCAGGTGCTTAATTCTTGCCCCTGCAAGTGTTACTGCCGCCACCAGCCACGCCATCGCCGCCTGCCACGCAACGTGTCTGCCTGGTGAGGAAAGGTAGGGGGTTGGGGGCGGGGAGTGGGAAGTTAGGGAGAGGAGGACATACCCCCTTTAAGTCCAACACACAACTTCCTTGGGTAGAGTCCCACTCAGCCCTTTTGCTCATGACCCCAGGTTACCCTTGACCTTTTCCTTGGCTGCAACTCAAACCCAACTGGGCTCCAAGAAGGAATGCGTTGGCCCAGCCCTTTTGTATCCAGCCCTTCAAGCTGACTCCTGGCCCTGTTACTTTCGTTGCTCTCTGGAGCCATCAGGGAGAGAAGCTGTCCCTTCAAGCTGACTCCTGGCCCTGTTACTTTCGTTGCTCTCTGGAGCCATCAGGGAGAGAAGCTGGTCCCAGCTTACAGTCTTAGCCTTGACACTGTCCCTGAGAATACCAAGAGGGGCCATGTTCCAAGCCCTTCAGGGACGGGAAGGGAAATGACTTTCTTCTGGAACCAAAAGATAAATGCAGGACTCCAAAGGAAGTCTCAGGTCTAGCCCATCAGACTGCCACTCCTCCCTCCAGCCCCTGGCAACTTCTGACTCTAGGACCCAAGGTTTTGACTGCCAGTGGGCACTGATGTTCCCGTCTTAATGCTGCAGACTACTCCTGAGTCTTCAGATCCAGGGGAGACAGTATCATTACCCCGACACTGAATTTCAGGATTGGTCACCCTGGCTCCCGAGAATCCTGAATCACTAGGATAGTGGTCAGCAAACTGCAGCTCGCGAGCCACATGTGGCTCTTTGGCCACTTGAGTTTTAAGCAAAGGCCAGCTTAGGAGTACCCTAATTAATAGCAATGTATTTACTTAGTTTAAAAAATTGGGCTCTCAAATGAAATTTCAATCATTGTACTATTGATATTTAGCTCTGTTGAGTTTGCCGACCACTGCACTAGGAGACCCTCTGCCCTGGACCCCTTGGAGCTCAGCTAGTGAGAGTGGGGGATGTCACACTCGCCAAATCTCGGGCCTTCCTATTTAGTTTAACTGGATACAGCCCTGCCCTAGACTGCCTATAGTGTATTGACATGGTCCCTCATGGAGATGGAGAAAGTGAAGCCTGGAAGGGGGGAAAGACCTCACTGCACTGCCAGACCTGCTGAATCTACTTTCATCCTAGGCTGAGCACGCCCACCAACCACCTGAGCGAGCCATCCTGGGTTGCCACCATCAAGTTGGCCGGCTCCCTGGTAGCTGGGCTGGAGCACTTCGACTTGCAGGCCACCCATTCCAACTGAGTGTAGTCTGTTCAATGGCCTCTACCTCCCCTCCTTGACAATAAAATAACCAACAACCAGATGTCTAGCTGCCTGTTCAAGTCACCTACAAAAGGTTGGAGTGGGGTTGGGGTCTTCATGCAGGCACCCCATCCTGGAAATAGGTTGGACCCAGAGCAACTGCAATGGCGGTTCCATTCAACCACCATCCAGACTGATGGGTCCCAGGGAGAGATGGTCTCATTATCCATAATACCATCAGCTCCATTTCTGAGCTGATCTCGTGCCAAACTCAAGGGTTCAGCACAAATCACTCAGGCCGAATGGACATTCCATTTTACAGCTGGGAAAACTGACTCTGGAAGGCTTGAAAATACCACATATAGTCCAGCTAGACTTGGACTCGGCCTTAAACACCTCAAGAATTTCAAGGCAGGAAACAGGATGGGAGGGTGTATGAGTTTATAAGTCCCAGCACTGGCTCAGGAAGGTCAGGAACCAAGACAAGCCCATGCCAGGGCCCATGCCTTTTGTTCAAGGGGTCTCAAAAGTGGTATCCCACACAAGAGTTCCATTTCACATATTGAAAAAATTGGTTTAATTGCAAACT